GCTGCCAACTCAGAGGGGCAGAAGGGTTACAATAATGAAAATATTTTCCATCAAAAAAATGTTACACATCAAATCGGTCACGAACCAATCTGACCAGTTTTTAGTGCAGGAATAAACCCCACAGTGCAGTTTTACAGCTTCAGAGCAAAACTGCACTTGATTTATTTGCAGGCTTGTCAAAGAACAAAGATGTACTAATCAACATTGCATTTTTTTTTCTATTTCACTTCCTAAATTTAAGGTGCAGTTCTGCCCTCACAAATGAATGTTTGCTCGTTTCTTTTTTATAAACATTGTAAGGTTGCAAGCTTATTCTTGCAATTAGAACTGGGCAAAGCAACACTTTTTGTCAACTTGGTTTTGACAAATTATTTGAAGAAATCAGATTGTTTTGTGAAGTTTGAACTTTTTTGATAAATTATTTTCACTTTGAACTTTTCAATCTAAAATAAAATGTTTTTTATTTTTGAGGTAGATTTCCATTTTAAACTTTGTCATGAAAAAAAGTTGCAGCCCCTTCTAACGCTGATTTTAATGAAGTCATACTCATGGCAATGTGTGTTTTAATTTACCATGTTGCTTTTCTGAAGCTTTACTTCAGTCAGATAGTCCAGTGTCTGAGCTGCTTATAGAAGGCACCTAGTTCCAATAGCATGTAACTTGGAAGTGCTTATAACTGCGTATCAGTTTTATTGTTTCCTGTATCCAGGATAGGTACAGCATGAGCAGTGGCAGTATGTTTCCCTGCAATACTTCCACCATTGTGTTTCAACCTTAACTGGGGCTTCTGTGTGTTATAGCAATATTAACTGAGTCTCCATGCCTATTTTAGTCCTTAGCTTCATTGCCAAGATTGTCAGCCATGATGATGAATCACAGTTCTTGCTATGTGGATTCTTATCTGCTAGAAAATTGGCCAGAAACAGTCAAACTTTTTTTGAACACATCCATCAGGAAGTGACAATTTTCAGTTACTGCTAATTCAAGATGGATTTGAAGCAGAAAACTAAACTTCCTTATCCTGTCAACAATTCCTTCAGCCATCCAGTCTCCAGAAAATAAATATACTATGGGTGTGATTCTTCTCTCACTTGCCAGGACTTTGTGATGACTGGAGGTGCTCTGGATTTGATAATGTGATGATGAATTAATTATTTGGGTAATGGGGTGGAGAGTATGCTCATAAAATCTGCAGATGACACCAAGCTAGGAGGGGTTGCCATCACTTGGGAGGGCAGTCTTAAAATTGTCAATGTCCTTGACAATTTGGAGAATTAGTCTAAAATCAATAAAATGAAATTCAATAAAAACAAGGGCAAAATACTGCTCTTAAGAAGGAAAACTCAAATCCCCAAATACAAAATGAGGAATAACTGGGCTAGGCAGCAGTACTGCTGAAAAGGATCTGGGTGTTATAGTGCAGTGGATCTCAACCTTTCCAGATTACTGTACCTCTTTCAGGAGTCTGATTTGTGTTTTCCCCAAGTTTTACCTTACTTAAAAACTACTTGCTTACAAAATCAGACAAAAATTAGTGTCACAGCACACTATTACTGAAAATTGCTTACTTTCATAATTATACAGTAAAAATGAGAGATCAATTGGAATATAAATATTGTACTTACATTTCAGTGTATAGTAAATAGAGCAGTATAAACAAGTCATTTTATGAAATTTTAGTTTGTACTGACTTCACTAGTGCTTATGTAGCCTGTAGTAAAAGTAGAAAAATATCTAGATGAGTTGATGTACCTCTGGGAGGACCTCTGCGTACCCCCTGGGGTTTGCATACCCCTGGTTGAGAATCACTGCTATACAGTAGTGGATCACAAATTGAATGAATAGTGCAGTTGTGAAAAAGGCAAATATCATTCTGGACTTTATTAACAGGAGCATTGTATATAAGACTTGAAGATAACTGTCCCGCTCTTCTCAGCACTGGTGAAGCCTTAGCTGGAATTCTGTGTCCAATTCTGGGTGCCACACTTCCATAAAGATATGGAGAGAGTCCAGAGGAGACCTACAAAAATGTAAAAAGGTTTAGAAAATCTGACTTACGAAGAAAAGCTTAAATAATGCTCGGCATGTTTAATCTTAAGAAGAAAAGGGGGAACTGATAAGTCTTCAGCTATGTTCTCTTTTTATAAAGAGGACTGTGATTGTTCTCCATTTCCACTGAAGGTAGGACAAGAAGTAATTGGCTTAATCTGCACCAAAGGAGGTTTAGGTTCGATATTAGGAAACACTTAGTGCTTGTCTACACTGGCACATTACAGCGCTGCAACTTCTCTCGCTCAGGGGTGTGAAAAAACTCTCCCCTCAGCCCTCAAACTTGCAACGCTCTAAAGTGCCAGTGTAGACAGTGCACCAGCGCTGGGAGCTGCGCTCACGGAGGTGTGGTGTGTGTGGGGTTTTTGTTTTTTTTTTAAAAGCACTGGGAGAGCGCTCTCCCAGCGTTATGCCGCAACTACACATGGCACGTTAAAGTGCTGCCATGGCACAGCCTGGTTTGTCTTTCAAAAAATGGAGACAAACTATTGTGTGCCACAGGCAGAGCATAGGAGACACTGAGGTGGACCAATGTCTGAGACCCCTGCAATGGCATGGAAGTAAATGAGATATACCCAGATGATACAATAACTAGGAAAAAACAGACAAGATTCTGCAGGGTTAGTGTCAGCGAAGAGAGATTTAAATACTTCTCAATGTGGTGGAGCTTTCATTCTTTGTGTGTTTTAAAGGGTGTTGAAAAGAAAACAATTGATGAAATTCTATAATATTTTTTTTCAATAAGAAATCATCTTATTTGCAGACACTGTGTGTCAGATATTACAAGAGATGCATTGAGAGATGATATTGGGGAAACTAGGTTTTTCAGATGGATAGTTGTAATCTTCAGAAAGCCAACCAACAGAGTGGTTAGTTCTGTGCAACCAGAATCCATGCAGTACTAGAATATAGTTCTGCATTCTGAAATAGAGCTTCTTATTCAGTTGTGTGTTTCAAATTGACACTTTTTTTATTATGGTTTCCAGGGCCTTCATAAACTCTTTCACTGATCATCCCTTTCCCACAATGTTATGTTGGAATTTGTTCTTGTCATCATTGACTTATCTGTATTTGTTAATACTGACCGGATCTTACTCCAAAAAACTCTAGAGGACTCTTCAAACACACCTTTCAGAGTAAATAAACACAAACATGGCGATTCATATATTGCATGCTTCACTTGAGCAGGAGATTAGTTGTTGAAAAATGTTGTTTAGATATGTTGCTATTGCTGAGCTGCAATGTACTTTTGACAGTACAGTTCCTAACTTTAGAATCTTGCCTCCATTGTTTGTTTACATTGGTTTGTGGCTCTCCATTATCCTGCACTGCTATCCAATAGCTGAAACACACCTGGAACAGCTGCAGCACCCTTGACCTTTAATGCTTGTTTCTGAGATGGTAGCAGTTTCTGTTTTCCTGTTTAATCTTTCCCAGCCTGGATGACAACTTTGATAGTAAAATTTCCATTCCAGTGAAAAGCTGAAATGATCAGCTGGGCTTTAGCATATGTCAGAGTACTGAGGAACGCACAGCACTTTAGAATGCTGGTTCAGGATCCCGTGCTGCAGAGCATGCACATGCAGGGCCGGCTCTAGGATTTTTGCCGCCCTAAGCAAAAACAATTTTGGCCGCCCCCTCCCCCCCCGTTTTTTAATTACCCCACCCCTGGCCCCGCCTCAACTCCGCCCCTTCCCCAAATCCCCAGCCCTGCCTCCTCCCCCCAGGCTCTCAAGCCTGGGAGGGAGGGGGAGCAGCGGCGCGCGAAACAGCTGTTTCGCGTGCCGCGGCTGCTCCGGATCTCCCCCTCCCTCCCAGGCAGCAGCAGCGGAGGTGAGCTAGGGCAGCCCCGGCACATTTTTAGGGGCGGCATTCTGGCGCTGGCCATGCCGCCCCTAAAAATGTGCCGCCCCAAGCACCAGCTTGTTTTGCTGGTGCCTAGAGCCGGCCCTGTGCACATGGAAGGGGGTACAGCATCAGTCTCATAAATGCCTAACAAATCATTGCAGAGGGTCTGTTTTGTGACTTGTAGAAGGCTTTATACTAAATTTGGTCCTGCTCTTTGCTAACTATGTGGACACACTATATTTACATAAGCAGTTATATAGCTTAACTTGCATTTCTTTTTTATGTTAGAAAATGATGAATGACACATTTCTTATTTACTAGATTAATGTTTTACTTGTGGCTCTATTTGGATGGAAATTAAAATTCAGTTTAAAAAAAGCACAAAAACAGCATTTAATTTTTGATAAAATAAAACTATCTTGAATGTGTTTGATACCTAAGGAAGAAAGTTTATCAAAACATGTTTTGCCGTTAAAACTGATTTATTAAACATAGGAAATATTATCTATAGTTGTTGAATTGAACTGATTATTTCTGGTCACTGTGTCCTTATTTTTAGAACTAGTAGGTCTCATCATCACACCTAACTTTTATTCATTGATTGGAAGAAGAAAACAAGTTTTCCTGCTTCTTCAGCTCTCAATTGGTTTCTTAACTTTGAATGAACTAGTCATTGATCTGAACTAGGGGAATAAAGTGAAATGAAGAAAATATTCTCTGGAGAGAGGCTCCTACTGTCAAAATCTGGTTTAGTGCTTCAACAAACTCTGGTTCCTGGTGCTTAACCAGTGCTTTTCCCCAGTTCAGGGAGTTGACTTTCTTTAAAACCACCAACTGCAAACATGTACTGCTTAATACTATTTTTGTAATTATTTAAATTATTTTAATAGATCATAAGTTTAGGTCTTAACAAGTTGTCAATTTTAAAATTAAATTTAAAAAAAGTTATTTAAAAAACCTTATTCATTGTTTCTCCTGAGAAATAGAGCAAGATGGAATCTTACAAGCAGCTGGTTAGGTGGTATTGCACAGAAGCCTGATTGAATAACACTTAAAACAGCTTATCAAACAATTTGTTTTAATACTTTGTATGTAATTTCCATAGGTTATTGGTGAACTGAACGGAAACAATATAGAGGATGTCATTGCTCAGGGTAAGTAAAATCTCATGGCGTTGGCATGGGGGTGACATTTATGATGATTGCCTCTCTAGTTCATTTACTAATTTAAAGACCCTTAAGGGCAGAGAATTACCAGATTTTTGTTTTTTCCTCATTTTGTTTTTTCTTCATTAAATCAGACTTGCTTTAGACGGCTCTCAATTAAGATACAAATTGGGATAAATCATATAATGGGTAGGGGTCCATCCTAATTCCTGCAGGTCAGTGCCAGTACCTGCTAGGTTTTGCTTGTGGACCAGATTAAACTGGAAAGTGCTCTTAAATATGAGTTTACAGTTAGTCTGCTCGTAACAAGAGTTTTCTGGACATGTTGCTAGGTGAGAAAATGAGCTAGACTTTAGCATTCTAAATTGTAGTTCTTGGTTTACCCAATTGTGTTCTTGAACTTTCTTTCACAGAGAAGTCACTTCATGAACTAAACACTTCATTCACAAGCCTTCTGTTCTTTATTTCAGGGAGACCTAGAAATGATAAATCTTATTGAGAGAGAACACTGAAGTGAAAAATCACATTTTATTTTATAAATTTAGAAAGGCACAACAATTTGAATGTTCCACTTGTGGAATATTTTGCTCTGACCAAATATGTTGTTTTTAGATAGCATGTGGAATACTTCAGGTAGCCCAAAGCTCTAATAATTTAATCCCCATTCCTTCAAACACTTAAGCAGATATTTTTGTAACTTTACTCACATGCCTAAGTGCTCACAGGATCAGGCCTTAATGATTATCAGTAAGTACAGCAGTTATTAGATACTTCTGTGAATGTTGTATAAAGATCTGAGCAGGGCCGGCTCCAGGCACCAAGCACCCAAGCTGGTGCTTGGGGCGGCACCTGGAGGGGGGCGGTGCGGCGCTCCGGCCGCCGGGGAGAGCGGGGCCACAGCCGGGCTCGCCACCCTCCCCCTGGCGCTCTGGCCGCCCTCCCCCCTGCGCCCTCCCCCCGGCCGCCGGGGGG